CATACAAGTCCTTTGGTTGATCTCTTACCCCCCTACCTCCTGCCCCCCAACCCTCCCCAGCCTTCCCGCTGCAGTTTGACACTCTGTTTGAGGCAGCTCTGCCACTGTATCTATTATCGTTCAAAAGTTTATAATGGTCTCTATTATCCATGAATGAGTGAGATAATGTGGTATTTTTCTTTCATTGACTGGCTGATTTCACTTAGCATAATGCTCTCCAGTTCCATCCACGCCGTTGCAAATGGTAAGAGGAAGGCCAGGGAGGGTTGGGGGATAAAATAAAAAAATAAAATCTATCAACCAAAGGACTTGTATGCATGCATATAAGCATAACCAATGGACATAAGACACTGGGGAATAGGGGAGGCTAGGGGACTGTCTAGGGCGAGGGGAAAAAATGGACACATATGTAATACCCTTTGTAATAAAAAATAAAATTAAAAAAAAATAATAAAATAAAATCTATCACAGAAAAATGTATTAGATGATCTTGGTACTTAATAAATTTAACACTCACCATCTATATAAACAGCTACTATGTGTGCAGCTTAGCAACATTATACTACATTAAAATACTGCTATATTTAATTCTAAAAATACCTACCATGCAGGGTCAGAGGTATTATGCCTCATTTGAGAGTAAAAACTAAGGTTCCACTGTTATGTGAATAAATCTGCTAAAGGCATACCGCTACACTAGTAAAAGACAAAACTAGCTTTCAAATCCAAGTCTGATTGACACTAAATTCCTTTTACTGGGTCTGGATAAAGGGAAGGTTCCACATCCATTGGTAAAAACTGTTTGTTACTGAAATGGGCTAACCTCAACAGACGGGTCCTTGGGGGAAAAAATCAGTAAGATATATAAGAAAAGAGAACTGGAATGCACATTACAAATCCAGCAACTTGAATTTCACCTGTCAGAATTTAAAACTAAAGGTTACCCATGACCCCTACATAGGATCCTGGCTGAACTTAATTCAAGTAAAGGAAGGACACAAATTGCTAAAGAGAAAAATTTA